GCCGACGGAGGCCCCCTCCCCCACCGTCTATCCTCCCGAATATCGCCTCAGATTCACTTCTCTGCACGTTCTACCTTCCAGAAAGTGGTCGCTTTTCTGTTCAGAGAGTTGTTGTTATCTTTTCTTTGATCTCCTGTTGAGTTTGTAGGTGTTCAGAATGTTTTGATCCCTATCCAGCTGAATTCCTGAGACCAGACAAAATCCTGGTCTCCTACTCCTCTGCCATCTTGCTCCTCCAGATCTACTGAATCCTTATAATAAAGTAAGCTACGTCACTTCTTGGCCTTTTGGCTAAAATCAAGTGTAGTATCTTTTCTTATTAGTTTAATATCTGAAACATCCTCAATCCAAGGACAATATACTACATGGATTTTTAGAACAAGGAGATGGAATAGGAGCTTGCTCTGTCCACTTCATGCATCAACCTGGTATTGCAGTAATTCCAGGAATGGTGCATCCTCATCAGGGGATAAAGAAAAAGTAAGCTAGAGATAAAATAAAATGTTATTTACCGTATTGTCCTGTATTTAGCTCTACGGTAAGTTTACATCAGCTATCTGTAAGACTAATCATCTGTTAGTACCTACATCAGTATTGTCTTATATGATACAAAACACCATAGATGGTACATATATTATTAGCACTGAACATCAAAAATGAAAAGATAATGTATAGTATTTGTGTGCATAAGTTTTGATAAATTTTAACTTTTTATAATAGATTTTAGGTATTTTATGGTAGTCAATGATAAAACAGAATTGCATCTGCATATATTTTATGCATTTATGAGACTCCTAACTTTTTCTTAATTTTTTCAATGTTTATAAGCTATGTGGTTCATCTGTGAGATTTTTCAAACTGTCACAAATCTCCAAAAATTTTTCCAATATATTTATTAAAACAATTTGCTTATAAGTAGACTGACACAGTTCAAACCCATGTTGTTCAAGGGTCAAATGTATTTGGGGAAATATCCCCAAGAAGTCAGTTATACACCCAAAAATGTGGTTGCATACTTGAATAGCCTTCTGGTAGATGAGGTAGATGGATTACGATGAACAACAGGCCAGGAATAGGCTTTGGCTTTGTTCAAAAATTAAAAGTGATGTCTTCTGGAAAGGAAAAGTAATAGTAATAAAGGGGAAAGAAAAGGAGAAAAGGCGGGAGAAGAAGGATAAGTAATAGCTAACATTCATTGAGTGCCTACTGGGAGCAGATGACGTGCTTATGTTACATTTTTCCTTCACAGATAAGGAAACTGAGACATAGACAGAGGAACACCACTGAAGTTATGGCCAGGAGGTGGCGAAGCAAGGACTCCCACCCAGGTATCCTGACCTTTGAATAGAACATGTCTGAACACATGGCTATCTCACGCATGCATAGCTTGTCTTTTTAGCTACAGCAAGTGCTTCTGTAAAAACAGGTGTTCTGTTTTCTTCCATTTCTATTTTGTGCTGTGCAGCCCTGCTTCGTGCAGTCCTCATTCAACTCTTTAAGAAGGCATAGTGAAGTAAAGTGACGGTAGTTATATGCAGGTTAGGGCAGGAGAAGTGACACATCATTTCTCTGTCCTACTTTAGGATTAGCAGGACACGTTCTGTAGGCTCCTCTCTCCGTGCCTTCACTCATGGTGCTCCCTCGACATGAACTCTGTCCATCCTGCCAGTGTTCTTCAACATCGATCCTGAATGTTGCATTGTCTTGGCAGGTGAATTAATCTCTTCCTCTGCTGTCCTTCCAACTTATAAAGAATACTTACTTCCGGCTTCCTTTTGTTTTTGCCTCCTCCTCTTTAAAGACAGTGTTCATTTATTATTTCCCCTGGGCTCTGTCACACTCCTGGCATCCTGCCTTGGCACACACTCCTGGCTTTGCCTGGAAATACCTCACATATCCACATGGCTCACTTTTTTACTGATTCAAGCATCTCATCAGAGAGATCTGGTGTGCTCCTGTGGGAAGAAAACATGCCAAGGAACTGCGAGTTCTCAGTTCCATCCCTGGGAGCATAGAAGAAAGTATAAGAGGGTACAGTATGGGCAGGCCCCATTGATGCCACCATGCTACCTACAATAGTCCCCCAGCTGCCTCTTTTGGGTTGGTTTGTTTTAAAGATTTTATTTATTTATTTGAGAGAGAGACAGAGAGAGCACAAGCTGGGGGAGGGGTGGAGGGAGAGGGCCAAGCAGACTCTCCTCTGAGCAGGGAACCCAATGCAGCCAGGACCCTGAGATCCCAACCTGAGATGAAATCAGATGCTTAACCAGGCTGAGCCACCTAGGCACCACCCCAGCTGCCCCCAACTCACTGGGTTTAGCCCCATAGCAGGTGTCTGCTCCTCCAGAGCTTCCTGGGTGTAATCTGAAACTGGCTCCCATGGGCAGAGGGCAGAGAGAGACTGAAGAAAGACAGCCACTCCAGGTTGGCAGGTTTTTCAGCAAGAAAACTGACATTCAAGGCTGTTCTTGGGGGCTGCAGGCAAGAGGAGTAGATTTCTGCACCCACCCACCAAATCGTAAAAGTTCATGAAGAGGCCTTACCTGGGTTCAGTCACATATACTGTGCAGGTGTTCTCAACACTGCATCACTATCTCGAGGCTGTGTCCCTGGAGCAGCTTCTGGGACTGGGGAAGGCAACTGGAACCCACAGTCCAAGGATGGGGATGTGTGCATAGTTTTATTTTTTGTTGTCTTTCTCCCCCTAGATTTCATACTCCATCAAACAGAACAAGTGAGTGGACTTACCTTGTTCAATTCCCTGTGGTGCTGTCAGCACAGCATCTGGCACATAGTAGGTGTTGCTGTATACATACTTGTTACATGAAGCAAGAAATAAATATGTGTTAGGGATTAATTGACTGTCCTGTTTTGTTGAATTTTTATTTAAAAATAAAGTGTGGTTCTGGGTGTCTCGGTTAAGCGTCTGCCTTCTGCTCAGGTCATGATGTCAAGTTCTGGGATCAAGTTCCGCATCGGGCTCCCTGCTCAGCGGGGAGTCTGCTTCTCCCTCTGACCCTCCCCCCTCTCATGCTCTCTCTCTCAAATAAATAAATAAAATCTT